CTTCTTTGTTGCCTACTTGGGTCGTGCAAGGAGCCTGCAACTCCACTTGCTTCATTCCCAAGCCCACCTTGCGTACCCCGTGTGTAGACATGAAGTTAGTAGTAGCACCACGTCGAAAAACACAGAGGTATGGTGGTTAATAAGAAGCTTGATGAAGATCAACTCCTCTCCCCTTTGAGCACGCCGTTGTTTCATCTCGGCCCAGTGCTCTAGGTGATAGTGGACGTTGACCATCTCAGACTCCTTCGAAGGCTCGACATAGAGAACATTACATGTGTCAGTCTTGGAATCAGCAGATGATGGGGCTTCAAGAGAGGACTGTTGATCTGCATCAGGTTCAATCTCCCTTACTGTAGAAGGTGTTGATGCCATTTCTACGCCCGATTCGGGTTTCCCTGCAGCCTATAACAACTTGAACTTTATGATTGGGTTTCCGACATTGCAGACAAATTCCCTTCTTGATCTTAGCCTTCCAGTCACTTTCACTGATCCAAAGGTTTAACCAAGGTCTGGTTGTAGCATCCCCCGGTTTGGCTGGGATCTTGACTCCTTCGGGGAGTGGGACATAGTTCTTCCCTGAATTCAGGTTTGGTCCCTTCACATTGGCAGACTTTCTAAAGGCATTAAGTTTCTCTTCGTCATCGTTAATATCAGATTCATGGGTTGAAGATGAACAGGCTGTATCAGAGTCCTATTCTTGATCGTCATCAAGAGTGGGGTCATCTGCATAGGCCTCCTCATCAGTCTCCAGCAGGTCATGCACAACAAAGCGGTTGCTGCCTCTAAACCGCTTGCCGCCTATAGGCTTCTTGTTGCCTGCTGTGGAAACGAGGTCTTGTGCCTCGAGGCTGACTACATCCTGCATGAGGGAGAGCCAGTCCACGTATCCAATGACATCTTTGCCTAGGCGATGTGTGTAAGCAGTGGGAACCGCACCTTTCACAACATCCATGCATGATTGTGCAATCATATCCAACCCGGGAGTAGCAAAAAAACCTGCTTACATTGTTTAATCAATATTTCTTCCAATGTGGCCACATGTGTGGCAACATGTGTGGCCATGATTGTACCACTCAAGTAGGCCGGTACCAGTCCAAGTAGCGGTAGGATAGAGG